GATGGGAGCATGATAAATAGGCATAGGAGCCAGCTTGAAGGGGCTCCCGCAGGCTATATCAGGAACAATTTAAACAGCAAAATAAGTAATAATAGTAACAAATCACAACAAATTAAATAAGATAGAAATCCACAAGTCCTTACTGATTTAATAAATAAACAATTAAATGGGGGAGAAAGGATAAAATCCCAACTAATACAAGTAGAAGAAATAAGAGAGTAATATCATTTGGCAATCATCATAGAAGTGGTTAATTAAGGTGACAGTCTTCACTGATACTTACATTAAGGCTAGTGACTAGAGACATTTGATGAGAAACAAGATGCTGGCGTAATTTTGAAATACCTCTCCACAAATACTGATCAAATACAAAAGGATACCAAAATGATCGACATTTTATTTATTATTATTTTTTACATTATTATTATTTTTTTAGATTTTATTTATTTGACAGAGAGAGACACAGCGAGAGAGGGAACACAAGCAGGGGGAGTGGGAGAGGGAGAAGCAGGCTTCCCGCTGAGCAGGGAGCCTGACGTGTGGCTCAATCCCAGGACCCTGGGATCATGACCTGAGCCGAAGGCAGATGCTTAATGTCTGAGCCACCCAGGCGCCCCAATTTATTATTATTTTTTAAAGATTTTATTTATTTATTTGACAGAGGGTGAGCGAGTGAGAGTGCCCAAGCAGGGGGAGCAGCAGAGGGAGAGGAAGAAGCAGGCTCTCCGCTGAGCAGGGATCCTGACTCGGGGCTCGATCCCAGGACCCTGAGATCATGATCTGAGCTGAAGGCAGACGCTTAACCCACTGAGCCACCGAGGCACCCCTGATCGACGTTTTAATCACCAGCAGTGGCAAGGCTGACATCATATGCCTTTGGAAGCAAAGTGCTAAGAGAACATAGACTCATTTCTGTGGTACTCCTGCCAGGAATGCATGAACTGACTGGAGTCATGAGGAAATATTACATGAACCTAGGTTGAGGGTCATCCTACAGAATGTAGGGCTTTGTACTTTCTAAAACTGTCATGGACGTGAAAGAGGGAAAATTGAGGTTGAAGAAGTCTGAAGAAGCATGATGACTAAACACAACATGTATTCCTGGATAGAATCCTGGACCAGAAAAGAAAGAGATATTGTTCCAACTGTTGATGAAATATGAATAGGCTCTGTGGACTAGGCAATAGTGTTGTACCAATGCTTATTTTTTTATTTAGAGAGTTATACATTGGTTATATAAGAGAGTGCCTTGCTTTTGGAAAAAATAGACACTAATGTTTACAGGTGACAATACACCATGTCTGCTCCTTGCCCCAAAAGGTTCAGAAAAAGACTATAATCATGGGTATGTATGCATGTGTTTTTTTTTTTTTTTTTTTTCTTTTTTTTTTTTTTAAAGATTTTTTATTTTTTATTTATTTGAGAGAGAGAATGAGATAGAGAGAGCACATGAGAGGGGGGAGGGTCAGAGGGAGAAGCGGACCCCCTGCTGAGCAAGGAGCCCGATATGGGACTCGATCCCGGGACTCCAGGATCATGACCTGAGCCGAAGGCAGTCGCTTAACCAACTGAGCCACCCAGGCGCCCTGTATGCATGTGTTTTTACACACATATGCACACATGTATGTAATGTATGTATGGAAACAGAGAGAAAGCAGGCAAAAGAAGAAATGCAGTATTGGTCCCATTGCTGAACTAGAAAAAAAAAAGTTCTATATGCCTGAAGATCTGTGTTACAGTTAACCATAATGAACTTCAGAACTGTCTTTTCTAAGGTTTCAACAACTACTGAATATTACATTGATAGAATATAATTCATGTGCTTTAGAAAATAAACAATATTAATACCTTATGAAATGAGAATCTATGCAAAGCATTATTAGAGAATTAAAAATTGCTATAACTATATTACAACTTTTTTCTTACAGAGGAATCTTAAGGTTGAATCTTCTCTAGCATATTTCGAGTAAAAACAACATTCAGCATTACTATACATCAGAATCTGTGTGGTTTTTAAATGGGAGATAAAAAACTCCTTAAGACTGTTGTAAGAATTGAATGAAATTATGTATATAAAGCATTTAGCATGGTGGCCAGTACAAGTTAAGCACTCATAAATGGCATTTAATGTATTTATTCTTATAGAAAGGATACGAAACAACCCCCAAATACAGTAAAGTGACTTCAAAACCTATTAGAGATGTCTGTAAAGGCAAATGGATATAATCACAGTCAAGTATCTAGACTGGCAAATTCAATGAGGAAAGCTATTGTAATTTATTTATACTTGCAGTCCCAGAATCTAACATACTGCCTGGCATACACAGTAGGCATTCAATAAAGATTTACTGAAATGAACTGAGTATGAAAGTAAGTTAACTCAAAAGAGAAAAAACGGTAGTCTGAGACTGTCTGAAAAATAAACTTAGAGTCCAAAAATTATTATTCCCTAAGCAAGTCACTTTGAGAAAGGAAATAAAATACATAAGCATTTTTAAAACCATGCACAGAAACTCCCCTCAGACTCTTTTAAATAATGACTGAGCCACTTTCAAATCTGTTTTGGCAAATGTGTCACATATAAGTCTAATATTACAGAAAAGTATTGTAAAATTTCATCTAAATAAATGTTGTGTTCATCCTCAAACAGGAAAAATGTACCCAAAACACTGAGGAATCTTTCTAACTTCCACTCAAGGAGACTCAGATGAGCTTAATTCAAGTTCTTCCATCTATTTATATATGCAAATTAGCTTGAACTTTTACTTACAAGTACATTGTAAATACACAGATTTCACTTTCACAAGTTCAACTGCACACTCCAGTAAAGGAAGAGGAAAGAAAGAAAATCAGCTCTCTCAAAAGTGGGCAGTGCTATAGGAGTACAAAAGAGTAACCAGAAAAACTTTTGTTTCAGCAGCCACCTGTTAGAACTCACCCTTATGGCATAATCTGCATGGTTTGGGAACATTTTCAGATTGAAAACTCAAAATTCCCAGTGCAGTTGGCAAAGGAAAAAGTGTATTATGAAAATACAGTGCTATCTTCCCCACTACTTCCAAAGATAACAGGGATCAATAGACTTTTTAAAAAAGAAGAAGAGGGAAAAAAAGACTTCCAAGTTATGGCCAATTACCTCACATTTGGAAACTCATCAATTTTCTGAAAAGCAAAACCATACCTTTAATAATACACTCAACTCTGTACAGAGCTTGGCTTCTGAAACAAGCCAGTAAAGTATACTTCCAGATAGACAGCTGGAGCTACATCTCCTGAGCCTACTTTAAACTAAAATCTGTGAACAATACGAAGTTATAAATCAAGTAACAGTTCCAAATCAAGTGCTAAAAGAAAGTTTTGAAAACAACGACAAAAATCATCATTAAACACATCTACGTTTCTTAACACAATGACTATGTTTTCAGAAAAAAAATAAACCAAGGCTACCAGGTACATTACAGAACAGTTTACAGAATAGTAACAAAGAACTGCAATATGCAGAGTAAAATTATTCTTAAATTATTATTTACTTCCAGGCGCCTGGGTGGTTCAGTCATTAAGCGTCTGCCTTCGGCTCAGGTCATGATCCCTGGGTCCTGCGTCCTGGGATCGAGCCCTGCGTTGGGCTCCCTGCTCTGCAGGAAACCTGCTTCTCCCTCTCCCACACCCCCTCTGCTTGTATTCCCTCTCTCGCTGTCTCTCTCTCTGTCAAATAAATAAATAAATAAATAAAATCTTAGAAAAAAACTTATTTGCTTCCTATAGTGTCCTGGAAAGTGTCATCAGCATGAAGTCGTGTTAAGAGCTATTGTTCAGGCACTGACAGCATTACAGTTATTTTTAAATCTAATTTCTGGAAAGTTCTGCAGTGGCAGTTTAAAAAGCAAACTAAATTCAAAAAGAAAAAATGCCTAGCCTTTAATCTGGAAATACAATTGAAGATATCCACAGTTAATTCCTTTTTCAAACTAAGAAGCAGTAAGGTCATAGGCACAAGTGTGTAACATCTGTAGGAGGCTGATCTAAATCAGTAAAAAAGTCTCTCTGAAATGAACGACTTAAAATAATATCTTACCAAATACAATCTGAGATGATCTTTAAAAATCAGGTTAGTGTTTTTTAACCACTAACAAAACTTTCCAATGCAAAATTTTCCACATCACACACACACACTTCGTAAATTAAGAACTAAATGTAAATCCAAAAAAACCAAAAATTATTTAAAGACATAAAAACATATTGGAAATATTAGCCCTTTGTTTTTTACATTCATTTCTTAGATCTACTAGCAAAGCTATTCTGGAATGGGTCTTCATTCCAATACAAGATTGTTTAATATGTCAATTCCGTGTGAATAGAGCTTGTGAGATTCTTAAAACCTCCTCAGGAGATGCTTAATTACAGCTCTAGTTCCAATTTCCTGCGACTCTAACAGCAATGTACAGAAAAGAGCTTATACACAGTTAAGAAGGGAGAGGAATGAAGGTCCAGGGAGCGACCCATTCTTTTGTTTTGGTGGCAGACGCTGCAAAAATAAAGGTCCATCAGAGCTATCTGCACCTATCCCCACCCATCACAACGATGCACAGCACTTTCATCCATCCGCTCAAGACCTTCTAGCCCACCAGATCCGCCGAACCCGTGGCTTTCCACGTCTCAAAAGATGGGCGGGGGAGGCTCCGAGGTCTGGGATACAGAGAGAAAGAGAGGGAGGGAGGACACAGATCTTTGAGGACAGAGGGACAAGGAGATGCATCTGGCTGGGGAGGATGGGACGCGCCACTGAGATTTGCAAATTCGCTAGGAGAAAAGCCCCACGGGACCGACAGAGGATGTTGCCTGTTCAGGGATGGGGACAGAGAGGGGTACAATCCTCCACAAGAGGAAGGAGACACATTAGTGGAAGACCCGTGAGGGCGTGAACTAGGCAGCGCTGAACTCGGAGCCAAAAAGGGTTGAGATAGCCTCATACACACTCGTATGGTGAAGCTGAGACTTACGGTTACTTCCCGGGCTGAGGGTAAGGGTCGGGTGGACCCCGCAGCTCTGCAGTTCTGCCACCGCCGTGGCCGCCTCTGCCTCTCGCGCGGAGCAGGTGACCTCAGGTACCCTCCCCACCCCACCCACCCAGGCGGGCGCCCCCTCCTCGCCCGCCCGGGTGCGCCCGCCGGGCAGAGGCTGCTGGGGCTGAGGGTGCGCACTAGAGGCCCGCGAGGAACGCTGCGTGAGACGGAGGCTCCCGCGACGAGGCTCAGATTAGGCGGGCGCCCCCCATCCCTCTCTGGCCGCCGCGCCGCCTCACTCAAGGGAGGGGAAGAGGGGGCGGTGGCTTTTGCCTCCGCCTCGCGGTCAAGTCCGGCTCATGCTCAAGCCCTGCGCGCGCGCACGCAGCCCGGGCCGTCCTCCTCCCCTCCCCCGCTGCCGGCTCAGCCGCTGGCGTGCCGGCCGCTGCCACCCCTGTCCTCGAGGCACCGCCACCAACCCCAGACAGCCCGCAGCCCCAGCGGGAAGCAGCAGGAACGGCAGCAGCTCGTCCGTCGACCCGGAAGCTCTTCCGCCGCCAACCGCGACGCTGCAAGGGGTGTAAACCCGGAAGTGATTTTCTCGCCCCGGTAGCGGCGGGATGGAAAGCAAAGGACTTTGAAGACCTGGAAACCCCTAATTTCGGGAGAGGGTAATATCGTGCTGAGGTGCGAGGAGAGGGAAGGACAATAAAGAACTAGTCGGCAAGAGTTTCTCCGAGTCCAGAGACCCGGGCTCTTGAGGCGCGTTTTGGAAAGCGCGGCCGAACACGCCAGGCGGCTTCTGGTGGCCACCAAGGGTTTTCCTGTCACAGGAAGTTAGGCCCGGCTGCTGGGAAACAGAAGGGAAGGAGGAATGAGAAAGCGGTGACGGCACCCCGCCCCGCAGGTGACTGTCCCACCCAGTGAGTTGAATGTAGCGGCCCGGGAGGTGCTCGGCCGCCCTCACGGGTGAGACGAGGAGGAGCGAGAACCAGACTACAGCGAGAGAAAACAGAGGTGGGAGGCTGAACTATCTCCACATCTAGTTTCTCCAGGCAAGGAATTTATTTCTTACTAGTAACGAAGAAGCCAGAGCCACTCTTGGGGTGGCAGCTCTTTGAGCAAAGAGGCGTGCACGTCCTTTCCTGGCAGTGGACGTTGATGGGTGGTGGCAGAGGAAAAACCTAGGCAGATTGTTTATTTTTGTCATTTCAGGGAAAGCGATTCACAACTTGTCATTCCAGTTCAACTCGCCTCTACACTTCTTTCCATCTTTTGAGGCTTTTGGCTTTCTTTGCTTTTTATTCATGGTGTTTTTTATCTTCAAAAGAAATCTTTCATGTAGCTTGGCCTGACTCAGTATCTCCCTCCCATTCCCTTTGCACTCTCTTGGAGAGCTTCTGTGCCTTCAGTTTGTTTGCAAATGCGTCTTTCTCTCTGCATCTACAGTCTCTTAACTGCTTTGATGGCGTCATCTTATTTGGGGGAAATGCCAAAAATACAGATATGTTTCCATACAAAAATATAAAAACAATTCACTCCATGATCTTTGCCCCTTAACCCCATGCTACTGTATTAGTTCGTTCCCTTAAAATTGGGTTGCAGAACTACAGCAGCAGCTGGATATATAGCATATTTAGATATGCTAAGGATGAAATCATGCTCCTCCAAATAACCTTAAATAACCTTGGTATTCACCATAGGACTTCATTTGGTTCCCAATGCCAGTATTACTTATAGTTCCTTCTGTATTAGCCAAATTCATTGTAATTGCCTTCAAAAGCAATTTGAAGATTATTAAATATCTTAAATTACAGAACAGAATGTCACTTAACAGAAAGAAAATCTTTGAAAATTATCAGTGACACCTGTTGACCCTGATAAGTGATGATTAGTAGAATTGGTTGAAGGGACAAGGAGAAAGCAAGCTAACTTAGAAGTAGCACCGATGGTTCTTTCCTATTCTCCTTTATTAATACTTACTCTCTTTGTAGCAAAAAATAAAAGATTTTTATGGTCAGCAAATCCCTGTAGAGGAATTCTTACTGACATTTAGTCTCCATCTCTTTTAATGTTATAATGCTTTAAAATAGTGAATTGTTCTAGGAGAATGCGGAAGGATCAAGTAACTTAGCTACTCCACCTCAGCTTTTTTTTTTTTTTTTCCTGTAAAACAGGGATGATGATGATATCTACCTTCATTAAGTTTAGGGGGAATAAAATGAATTAATATATGTAAAGCACTTAGCATAGCGTCTAGCACATAATAAGCACTGTCAGTGTTAGCTGTTCACATTATTTTACAAACATTCAATGTTGTATTCAGAAAACAAAAGCAATAAAAACTTAAGGACAGCTTGATAAAATCAAGGGAATAAAAATATGCTTTATTAATGATTTTCAACTATGTGGACAGAAAGGTTTTGTGGGTTTGGCTTGGTTTGGTTATTTAAAGTTGACATGGGTTTATGGGGCACCTGGGTGGCTCAGTTGGTTAAGCAACTGCCTTCGGCTCAGGTCATGATCCTGGGGTCCTGGGATCGAGTCCCGCATCAGGCTCCCTGCTGGGCCGGAAGTCTGCTTCTCCTTCTCCCACTCCCCCTCCTTGTGTTCCTCCTCACGCTGTCTCTCTCTCTCTCTCTCTGTCAAATAAATAAATAAAATGTTTAAAAAAATAAAATAAAAATAAAGTTGACATGGGTTTAAAAGATTGAGGAACATTGCTTAAGGATGGAAGAAGGTGGATCATTTCTGTCTCAGGAACATTTTACAGAGACCTAAGATAATGTCCCATTTTTTAGTTTTTATTTATCAAGATACACTTTCCGATCATTGCTGGTAATTTCTATTAGCATGCACATTGCAGACTGGTAAATCCTCTTGTCCACTTTGACTTCTGCTTATTAAATTTACAATACCCATATTCACATACTGAATCTTTTCTTTTTCTCTGGTGTAAAAAGGCTTTAGTTTGTTAATCAGTACTCAATACAGCAAATGGTTTTATTGAAGATATTATTTACATTTTGTTAAACAGGACTGTCTGGTATAGCAAAGAAATGTTAACAAGCCTGCCCCATGGGGACTAAATGGCATAGTGATAACCAGAAATGTCCCTACATATTTTCAAATGATCCCATGTAGGGTACCACCCCCAGTTGAGAACCACATCTGCATATTTGTAAGGCCTCATTGCTTGGAACATTATCATTTATGCCTAAGCATTTTTCAGAATAGAATGAGCCATAACAAAATGCTACCTATTTCCTATACTTAGTCACTTGAACCTTTATCTAAAACTCAGTCTAAACATATTGCTGACTTTAGTGCTGCCTTTCTCTATTATTTTTAGCTGAAGTTTGTCTTTTCCAGTCCCCCTGCATGTGTTTCTGCCTTAGCAGTTTTGCCTTAATACGTTAGTAGCTTTCATTCTTTTCCTAACTTAAGCCTTTGTTTTCTTCTTTCATGTCACAGGGTATATGTATATTTCAAATATTCAAGTATGAATATTTCTTGAAAATCAATTTTTAGAATCTTTCAGGGATATGTTTACATTAAATGGTATAAAAACAAAATACTATAACCCTCATGGTTATGCCTTTTTCTATTAATCATATTTGTTTATCTTTTAAAAGTTGAGTGTAGTGTGCAGTACTAAATATTCCAGAGAAATGATGAGTATTAATAAAGCATTGTCCCAGATTTTTTTTTTTATTGTAAGTTGACCCTCACAGGGATTGATTGCTTTAAATTGTGTTTAGAAGACTAAGGATTACTTGATTTCTCTTTTAGGTGCTTAATAGAAAAAAAAAGTTTGTGTAATCGTGCTACATATGTTATACGGTGTATTCACAATACAAGGTCTTTTTTTTAAACAAGGAAGGTAGTGCTTGAAATACAGATGCTTGTTGGAAATTCCTCAATGGATTCTTAAAATTAGTCTGGGGGAAAAGTGTGTGTGTGTGTGTGTGTGTGTGTATAAAATACATATTTGGAAGAAAATGTTGGGAGTTACCTGGGGAATTGGTAATGGAAGTGGAGAATATTTGTAAGTCAACATCAGAAAGATTTTATCCACTGACCACATGTTTTTGACTCTGTGGTAGGCATCTCCAAGGAAAATCATAAGGTATACTTTAGCTTATCCACATGTTAAATATCAAAGTTCTTTCAAAAGATTTTGGAAAGAATGTCAATGGCAGCTGCCTATTTCCAGCTTCCAAACTATTAACAATATGACATTTACTTGTGTCATTTATGGAAAATAAGTGTGTAATATTCCAAATCACTCTTTCAGGTCATTATTTGCTTAGTATTTATAATCATATCACTTTTTTTTTTTTTAGGTCCAAAAGGCAGATTCTTATGCAGTTTAGACATACAAAAGTATGCATCTCCATTAAAATTTTTTTACCTTTCACAGAAAAAGAAAAAAGGACCAAGAGGAAATCTTAAAATTATAAGCTAAGGGTTTGAATGTTCAGGATTAAGATATAGTCATCACTAGCTTGTCTTTTAGGTAGTATATATATTCCAAGATAGAAAAATAAACATGTTATTTTTAAAATTGTTTTTCAAAGTGATTATGCTGATTATGTGTCTTTTAATATTTCAAGGGATTTCTGTGTTTGTTTTGTAAAACAATGGGAAATCCAGAAAACATAGAAGATGCGTATGTTGCTGTTATTCGTCCAAAGAATACTGCCAGTCTCAATTCTCGGGAATACAGAGCTAAGTCATATGAAGTGAGAACAATTTACTAACATTTTATTTGCTACCATTGAATGTCATTTTCATTTACATAAAGTCTTACCATATCCTCTAAATTCTTCTTGACAACCTAGATCTTGAAAAGGTAGAATTATGCTCCTAGATCTTTGCCCAACACTGTCTTTTTGTCTGTTGCATGCTTTTTGACCATTTTTCTATTGATTGATAGGTATAAATTATTAGATATTAAAAGGTAGTCATTTGAGTTTTCCTTATATAGATTTAGTTTTTAGTACAATTTATGAAATGGCTCTCAAAAATTAAAAAAAATTGCAAAAGTCAGCTCATTCCAAATTCACTGTAAATATTGTTCTTGGTTATTTCCCTAAAGAACTCTTTTTAACAGTTCATTTTAAAATATCTTTCTACCTTTAATTAAAGTTTTAGGCAATTAAGTTACTTCTCTGTAGTCCTGAATTGTATTAAATATATTAGTAGATGTGATTGAAGCCAAAAAACCCCCGAAAAACCCTAAAACACAATTATCTTTTTTATGCAACAGATTCCAAGCATCATAGAATACTTCTACTCTAACCTAACTCCAACTAATTGCTCTAGCACTTTGCTCAAATTGCTTTTTTAAGGTTAGTTATCTGAAACCTATTAAAGGATATTGCAGAGACTCTCAGGAGGCTGCTGCTTCAGCAGTGCTCTGGTTTACTAGTTCTCAATCCTGGCTGCACTGTTGAATCATCTGGGGAACTTTAAAACTTGCAGTACCAGGGCCCCCCTCCCCAGACATTCTGATTTAATAGGTCTAAGATGAAGCTAGACATTGCTATTGTTTTAAAAGCTTCCCAGGATATTCTAATATGAAGCTGGGGTTAAGAAAGACTGCTGACTTATTATATTCTAGGGCAAGTAAACTTTATTTTAAACTTTCTCTCTTTAAACTTTTCTCATCTAAGATTTTGTTGCATGAAGTTCCCATTGAAGGACAGAAAAAAAAGAGAAAGAAAGTTTTGTTGGAAACTAAACTTCAAGGCAACAGTGAAATAACACAAGGCATATTGGATTATGTAGTAGAAACCACCAAGCCAATTTCTCCTGCAAACCAGGGTATTAGAGGTAGGAAACTTTTTTCTTGTTTTTTATTTTTTAAATACAGTTTGCTTTAAATACTTGTAGAGAAAGATACTTTTAAAAATGTATTAAGATCAGTTTCTTTTGGTTTGCCTGGCTGGCTCAGAGTCATTACTGTGAGACTTTTAATCTTGGAGTCGTGAGTTCAAGTCCCATGTTGGGTGTAAAGATTACTTAAGAATAAAATCTTTTTTTTTTTTTTTTTAAAGGGAGGGGATCAATTTCTTTTTATGTTCCTTTCCATTAAAAAAAAACATGAGGGGCGCCTGGGTGGCTCAGTCGTTAAGCGTCTGCCTTTGGCTCAGGGCTTGATCCCAGGGTCCTGGGATCCAGCCCCGCATCGGGCTCCCTGCTCGGTGAGAAGCCTGCTTCTCCCTCTCCCACTCCCCCTGCTTGCGTTCCCTCTCTCGCTGTGTCTCTCTCTGTCAGATAAATAAATAAAATCTTTAAAAAAATAAAAGTAAAATAAAAAAAACTTGAGGGGTGCCTGGATGGCTCAGTCTGTTAAGCGTCCACTTCTTGGTTTCAGCTCAGGTCATGATCTCAGGGTTCTGAGATCCAGCTGCCTCCCGCTCCGCACTTAGCAAGGAGTCTACTTGAGATTCTCTGCCTCTCCCTCCCCCCACCCCACACCCTGCTTTCACAGGCATGCACTCTCTCTCACTCTCAAACAAATAAATAAAATCTTTAAAAGAAAACTTGAAAAAGACTCAGAAAACATCTTTTAAGGTATAGCAAAGCCTTTCAAGAAATAACTTGACTGAGCCTGGGTGGCTCGGTCTTTTAAATGTCTGCCTTTGGCTCAGGTCATGATCCTGGGTCCTGGGATCCAGTCCCACATTGGGCTCCCCAGGGAGCCTGTTTCTCCCTCATCCTCTGCCCGCACCCCCCCCCCCCCCAGCTCACTCTCTCTCTCTCTCTCAAATAAAGAAATAAAATCTTAAATTAAAAAAAAAAAGAGGGGCGCCTGGGTGGCTCAGTTGTTAAGCATCTGCCTTCTGCTCAGGTCATGATCCCAGGCTCCTGGGATCAAGCCCCGCATCGGGCTCCCCATTCACTGGGAAGCCTGCTTCTCCCTCTCCCACTCCCCTCTGCTTGTGTTCCCTCTCTTGCTGTGTCTCTGTCAAATAAATAAAAATTTTTAAAAAGAAAGAAATAACTTGACTATAATGTTTTTTTAAGTTGAAAAATAAATAAGTTGCAGTGTTATGATTTGTTCAGCAGAGATGGGAAACCAAAGAGTAGCTTGAAAACAAAGAGAAAATACAAATCACTTTTGCTAGAAGTATAGTTCTCTAGTTAAGTATCTTTGAACTACTATTTTTATTTCTCTACTTTAGGACAGAGGGAACTAAAAACCTTGCTTCATAACTAAGTGAAAGTTAAGATTCATGAATTAGAATCCTATAAGCTGCCAGGCAACAGAGGTTTCTTCCTGTTTGGTCACAGGAAGAAGACCCTTTTCAAAGAGCCAAACTGAATTATTGAAGTATTAACCTTGAAAGGTTCAGACCCCATTTAAAATATTAGGTAATATATAGCCTAGGGAACTATTTAAAAATTAATGATAATTTTCTCAGGCTGTAGCCTCATAAGTGGATAGCAGTTAAAAGTTAGAGAAATTGTAAACTGTATCCACTATTCAGACATTATCATTAAGATGCTAAAGCTAATTTCAGTCAAATAGCTGTTGAAAACAGTTGTAATGAGGTAAAGCATACCTCTCTATGCCTACCTTTTGTTTTTTTAAAACTTAGTGTTTTTTTTTTTTTTTTTCTGTTAATCTTTCTAGAGATTGTCTAGTTTATCTGTTTCAGTAAAGAGTCTGTTTTTGTTGCAGAGATAGGGCTGAATCCTGTGATTCAAGTTATTATTTTGGGTATTTGTTCTATAGAGATAGCTGAACTGTAAGCCTCTGATTCATAATTTTTGGAGCTATCATTCACCATTTTTTAAACCTTTCCAATAGGTAACCTCCCCAATAGGGCCTGAATGGTTGGGGCTCTAATCATTATAACTCAACATTATAATAAGTTACTGCATAAATTTACAGATCCTTGATAACATTCTGAGTCCCACAAAGAGAATATCCTTTCCCTAATTATCAGGTTGACTTTTTAATAAAATGGTCTAGAAATTGATCTTAGCTAAAAAGGGGACTCTCCTTATGGGTGATCCAGGCATGTAAAAGGCTGTTTTTGGATGCCACAAATTTGTCAGTCTTTTCTACCTCAGTCTTGGCCTTCTGATAAATTTTCATCTAGACTTGTTTTACTGTCGCTAAATTGTTATAGTTACCAGGATATATCCTTAGATCAAATTCCTGAGACATATACCCAAATCATATATTTGAGCTAAGACAGACAAGTCATAATTTGCTATCAATTAGCCAAAATCTATCACTTGGTCCATTCACCCAGAAGGGGGATGAAAGTGGTGTCAGTGTTAACAAAGATGTCCTCTGGCCCAGAGAAAGGGGTAGTACTCTTAGAAGATTTTCTGGCAGCTTTTAATAAAAGAAATTAAAATGGAGAAGTTAAACTAACTAGTTATATTAATGAGTCATACCAGATCCTGACTATCCTATTTATTGAGTAATGTATGAAATATTTTTATAGAGTAATAGGATACCTTATATAAGCATCACATAAAAATCACAAATGACTTTATAATAGCAGTGGTTATGCCTTACCTTTTTGTGTAGTGCTGTGTATCGTTTATAAAGCATCACCACACTTACTTATTAATGAAATTCTCAAATTGGTCCTGTGAGTTGGTATACGGTCATTTTCACATCTGTAAATGGAAATGCACATATAAGTTGTTATCTGCTAAAATCGTATTCCCATTAGTGGAGGAGTTAGGACAAGAATCCTCATTTCCCAACTTGTAGTCAGTGCTTTTATTTTTATCCCCCACAAAAAAATCTCATTACATCTATAATTTGCAAAGTAGGCAGTTAAGCAATGGATCAGAACTGAGTTTAGGGATGCAGCAAGGCAGGAAAGATTAAGTGGGACAATGCCTTGGGTTAGACAAAAGAAATTGCCTCTGAAATGAGTTGTTATTCTGTATCTAACACTTATATTTTCTACAAATGTCCAATTTGTAAAATAATTGTTTGGGGACTATAATAATAATGGCCATAATAAAAATATTGACTCCATTATTTTGTGCATAAATGAAGCTGCTTGAACTCTTATATTATCTACTTGTCCATAGAAGGCATCCAGCCAGACATTCCTACTTGGGTCAGGAACAAGGTTCTCTATCTTGGAGTGGGAAGATTGGAAGAGTTGACAAAAATAATGGTAAAGGTGTCTAGATGAGAAGTTTTAAAGTGCATGACTTGTAGGTTTTTATTTATATCCCCCTTGCGGCCAAATCAGGAAAAACAGATTAAGAATGGAGGTTACAATTCAGAACAGTAGTTCATAGCCCAATCAGATTTTAATAAAAACTGAAATTGAAGGGGCACCTGGGTGACTCAGTCTGTTAAGCGTCTGCCTTTGGCTCAGGTCATGATCTCAGGGTCCTGGGATCAAGCCCCATGTCAGGCTCCCTGCTCTGCGGGGAGCCGGCTTCTCCCTCTGCCCCACTCCCCTACTTGTATGTGTGCGCACGGGCACACACGCTCTCTCTCTCTCATGCTCTCTCGAATAAAAGTCTTAAAAAAAAAAAACAACTGAAATTGAGGGTGGAGGTTGAATGTTAAATGAAGGGCTACTAAACTTTAAGACTTTGCAACTTATGGGGTGGCTCAGTGAGTTGAACTTCCGATTCTTGATTTTGGCTTAGGTCATGATCTCAGGATTGTGGGATCCTGCCCTAAGTCAGGGTCCCTGCTCAGCCGGTAGTCCGCTTCTCCTTCTTCCTCTGCCCTGACCCGTCTTGTGCTCGTACACGCGCACTCTCGCTCTCTCGCTCAAATAAAATCTTAAAAAAAGAAAGAAAAAAAGCAAGCAAGCAAGCTTCTCTTCTAGTGAGTCAAGACCAGTACCATAAATCTACTGGTTCATTGTCTACAGAATGATTTGCATTATTATCAGAATGAACAGTTTTTATTAGGGCATATAATAAAATTGGCTATATTTTAACTCCTCTTAATGCTGCCTTTTAAAACATTTTCTAGTTCCCCCCCCAAAAAAAGGCGGGGGGACAAACCAAAAAAACACTCTTAACTATAGAGAACAAGCCAATGGTTACTAGAGAGGAGGTGGGTGGGAGGATGGGTGAAATAGGTGAAGGGGATTAAGAGTATACTTATCTTAGTATGGTGAGATTATGGGTGATTTTTTTTTTCCTTATGCTACTTTTTATTTTAAATGAAATTGATTTTTTAAAGCAAAATTAGCATTTAATAAACATATATTTTCCTTCTAGCCTCTTTTTTTTTTTGGTCCTGTGCATTGCTAAAATATGTCTGTATGTCACTCATCCAACAAATATTTATTGCCTGAATTCTACATGCCAGGTACACTATGCTAGCCAATTATGGGAATAGATATTGTTTCCATTTAATGTGATTTTACTTTTATATACTCGCATATATGTGGCTTCATAGTTTTTGAAACCTCATTCAACATAAATGTACTCAAATTTATACAATATTATTGGTTACGTTATTATTATGTATTTCTTAAAGTATTTGATTCATACTGACATATTCCTTTCCAAAAGTTTAGATAGCCATTTGCACTTCTACCAGCAATATCTGAAAAAGCAAACATTCTTCCAGGGTACCTTATATTTTAAATTGCCGTCTTTTACAAGTTAAAACATTCTATATCATTACTTATTAATTTCCTTTGTTTGGTTTCTAGTGAGGATGGTGTTTCTAAAATGTTTGTTAAAATTTGGAATTGCCCACTTTTGTGAATTGCCTCTATAGAATTTCTTTATCTATTTAGTGATTTTTTTTCTTAATCATTGTGTTTTCTTTAGTGAGGATGGTGATCTGTTATTTTGATGCATTTTTAAATATTACACATTCTTCTTTCATTTGATGTTTTTATAACATGCAGAACTTTACAAAATTTTGTGAGCACAGGGGCGCCTGGGTGGCTCAGTTGTTAAGCGTCTGCCTTTGGCTCAGGTCATGATCCCAGGGTCCTGGGATCGAGCCCTGCATCGGGCTCCCTGCTTGGCGGAGAGCCTGCTTCTCTCTCTCCCCCTGCTTGTGTTCCCTCTCTTGCTGTGTCTCTGTCAAATAAATAAATAAAAAATCTTAAAAAATAAAATAAAATATAAAATAAAAAATTTTGTGAGCACAAAAAAGTATACTTATCTTGATGAGCACTGAGTAATATATGGAATTGTCTAATTGCTATATTGTACACCTGAAACTAATACAACACTATTTTAACTGCACTGGAATTAAAATAATTTTTTTTCTAATTCTCAAGGAAATTTATAAAATTTAAAAGCCCATTATTTTTATCTTTACTGATTTTTTAAATGGTTAGGAAAGCGAGTGGTACTAATGAAGAAATTTCCTCTGGATGGGGAGAAGATGGGCAGAGAAGCAGCATTATTTATTGTTCCATCAGTTGTCAAAGGTAAAGTCTAAGTTTTATGAATCTTTATGTACTTTTGATGCTAAGTTAAAGTCTACTGAGGAATTTAGTAACTCACATTCATAGTTACTACTATAGTACTGTTTTAAAATACCTATTTTTCAGTTAGTAGTTAAGATGAGGAAATTTATTACTTAAAAAAAGGTATTTTGATTTCAAAGTAATATTCACCTTCTGGACTAAACAGTAATGTTTTTATTTCTGGTTTTAAAAGTAGAATAAAGAAGTGAGGAGGGAAGCCATAATTGAAATTAAAAATTTTCAGGTTATAATAAGGGATTTTTCAAAGGATATGACTAGAAATAGATATTTCAGTATTTTAGAACATTAACAGACTATGATCAGGACCTATCTGGTATTTGGCACAAGAAGGTGTTAATAATAGTTCTAAAATACTCTGCCTGACAGCATTGGTAATATATAAAGAATTTAGATCTAATGTAAAAAATTTAATTTGAGCCTTTGACATCCTGGAATAATTGAAAAATACTAAATTTCAGTGCAGACCTTTCAGCCTACTAATTTTGTGCCTTTGGACAAATCACCTCTTTAAGCCTCAGCTCTATTTGTAAGATAGGTATCTGCTTCTACTAAGTTCATTGTGCTCGAAGAATTCAATGAGGTATTAGATATGAAAACCACTTTGGAAACTAAATTTAGAGTACTGGCCTCCTATAAGGCAGCAATAAGACTGAAGATAAATTAATGACCCAGTGTGGATATGCCATCATCTTGCTGCTCACACGGTACTTATATGTATTTTATGAGCCAGCTCTAGCATTCCAGATACATATTTTTTTCCCCAGCCATACTTAGGCTAAAAAGTACAATATATTAAAATGGTGTTGGAAATCTTATTAATCAGAGTTTTACAATATTGTTGAAGAAGAGAAAGAGGAAACAATTTCTGCAATCCTTCAAGAATATAGGTCTTCTAATTCCAAATGGATAAGGTCACAGAACTGGTCATCAATTTAATCAAGGTTTTCTATATCCAAATCTAAAAGAATTCATGTTACATTTAACTACTTTTTAAAATATATAGTTTTAAATGAAAAACATGCAGTTGTAAACCTTTTATATGATGGCATTATTCATTTTCTTTTTCAGATAATACTAAATATACGTATACTCCAGGATGCCCAATTTTTTACTGCTTACAAGATATTATGCGAGTCTGTAGTGAATCCAGCACTCATTTTGCTACACTTACAGCAAGGATGTTAATAGCCTTGGATAAGTAAGAAATGCCACTAAAAATATTTTTTTAATAAATCAAATACAGGTTCATAGTAGAAATTAGCTCTGATAGAACAGAAGAAAATAATAAAATTAATAATATATGTAACATAATGTTATGTTTTTGAAGTACGATATAAAAATGAAAAGCCCCAAAGATAAGATTGTCCTGGTTTGCTTGCAATAGCTGATCTTTTTTCAAAAATGACAAAGACTGCCCTGGATTAAGAATTAAGATTCCTAGGCGCCTGGGTGGCTCAGTCGTTAAGCGTCTGCCTTCAGCTCAGGTCATGATCCCAGGGTCCTGGGATTGAGTTCTGCATCAGGCTCCCTGCTCAGCAGGAAGCCTGCTTCTCCCTCTCCCACTCCCCCTGCTTGTGTTCCTGCTCTCGCTGTCAAATAAATAAAATCTTAAAAAAAAAAAAAAAAAAAAAAGAATTAAGATTCCTTGTTATACAACTAGATTTCGTTTTTGGGTTTTTTTTAAATTTTCAAGTTGAGTTACCACTGCCTTTATATCCTCTCCTACTTCGCACTAGTTCCCTTATTTCCATCCTTCCTCCACTATTTTAATAGAACTAATTATGTCTTTAAAAATAGTTAATCTTAGGAAACAAACTGAGGGTTGCTGGAGGGGTGGATGGGGTAACTGCGTCATGGACATTGGGGAGTGAATATGTTGTAATGAGCACTGGGTATTATATAAGACTTATGAATCACAGACTTGTACCCCTGAAACAAATAATACACTATATGTTAATTTAAAAAATAGTTAAATATTGTGTAAGACTGACGAATCACAGACCTGTACCCCTGAAACAAATAATACATTATATGTTAAAAAAAAAAAAAAAGAAGATAGTAGGAAGGGAAAAATGAAGGGGGTGGAAATCAGAGGGGGAGATGAACCATGAGAGACTATGGACTCTGAGAAATAAAATGAGGGTTTCAGAGGGGAGGGGGTGGGAGGATGGGTTAGCCTGGTGATGGGTATTAAGGAGGGCACGTATTGAATGGAGCACTAGTGTTATACGCAAACAGTGAATCATAATGATGTAATGTATGGTGACTAACATAACATAATAAAATAAAATTAAAAAAAAATAGTTAAGTAAGCGAATGACTAAAGTTCTCTTTCTGTTTTCCCTGATGCTGGGTCACATGGTTCCTCAAGTTCTGATAGATTTAGTATTGAGTTACTCTTAGCAGTGAACAAGTTGTTTAGCCTATCATGCCTTTGTCCTTCTGTAACTACAGAGCTAATGTCACCTCTGTCTCAGTGGTTCTAATTTTAAAAGTACTTCATGTTTTTTGAAAGGGGTTTTTATTATAATGGTATATGCATTTTAAAAATAGTTTGCTGAGTCTATTAACTTATTATTAGTAAATGAAGTACTTAATGAACACTAGTTAAAAATTTAAAAATCTGAATGTAATATTAGAACGTATCACATCTCAGAGTTTGATGGTCTTTTTTCATCTTCATATTTGAACAAATATTTCTGTGACCTCTTCTTTCTATTTTTCCAGGTGGTTAGATGAACGTCATGCACAATCTCACTTTATTCCAGCTTTATTCCGACCTTCTCCTCTTGAGCGGATAAAAACTAATGTCATAAACCCTGCATATGCAACTGAATCAGGTCAGACAGAAAACTCACTACATATGGGCTACAGTGCACTAGAAATAAAGAGTAAAATGTTAGCCCTAGAGAAGGCAGATACTTGTATTTACAACCCTTTGTTTGGATCAGATCTTCAATATACAAACCGGGTAAGAGTTGAATGAATTTTGGCTCTGATTTCAAGGACATTTTATCTGAAATATAATTTTTTTCTAAAGTAAATATACCTATTACTAATTGTAAATGTTAAGATGACATCTAGTTAGTTGTATTTATTTAGTTGTGTTTTATCAATGAAAGTCAAGTATCTAAAGCTCTTAAGGGGATTTTGTTTTTGTTTTTTCTATTTTCCCTTTTTAGGTAGATAAAGTGGTAATAAATCCATACTTTGGTCTAGGAGCTCCAGACTACTCAAAAATCCAAATTCCCAAACAGGAAAAATGGCAGAGAAGTATGAGCAGTGTCACAGAAGACAAGTACTGTTTTGGTTTTACTCCACATTGCTTTTTTAAAACTTATATTATAATGTTAAAATATTGTTTAAAATGATATATGTAGTTAGTATGCAATGTAACCACTGCATAAAAGATTTAGTTTGCAGCTGCTAAGTGATATATGGGTTTCATAGATATGTCATGTTTATTTTGAAACAATTTGAATTTCAACAGTGCTTTTTAAAAAAAAAAATTATCTGTTTTTAATGATTAGGGAACGACAGTGGGTAGATGACTTTCCTCTCCATCGAAGTGCCTGTGAAGGAGATTCAGAATTACTAAACCGTCTTCTCAATGAAAGATTTTCTGTCAACCAATTAGATAGTGACCACTGGGCGCCCATTCATTATGCATGCTGGTAAATGGATTACTTTTTTTTTTCTTAGAAGGAATGAATCCTTAGTTATAAATGTTAGTGCTTCTTTTCAGAACTGTTGTCATTCCAGCCACCTTTCTCTACTACATTTTGCCTTACGGGCTTTCTATTTAGATCTTTGATTACTGTTTGTATGTACCACTGTTCAGAATTACAAGGTCTGCCCCATGGGAAAAGTATCATTATACAGCACTAGGTCCCTCATTCACCCTTGTAATTTCTATTGTTTTGTATTGGAGTTATATTAAGTTTGTTTACCCTGACTATAAAATTTATATGATGTAACTGCTTATGATTTGACATTGATTGATCATGTTGGAAAAATATTCATTTAGTTCTTGGGGAAGCTGTGGCATCAAGAAACTCCCCAAATCCTTAATTAGAATGAATGCCATTCTTTCTTTCTTTTTTTTTAAGATGAGAGGGATTAGCTCACAAGATTGGGGTTAGCTCTTGCTCTCCTACTCTTCCCACATGATAGTAACTCTTCCCCTCAGCTGATCTGAGTTCTTATATTTGTGTTCATAGCAGTAGTTAACTGTCAGCTATAGTTTATCCTCTAGAAGGGATGTAATGAAGTTATTTACCATTATTTCTTATGCAAAAGTTGCTTTTGACTTAGTGTTTAAAGTGATCTTCCTTGGCTAGTTTAAGAAGTGCCTACATTATTCACTGCTTGTTAAATGTCTGTTACTTCTTAGCTGAGCAACATTTAGCAAGATACTTCACTTCTCTATATCTCAGTCTATCCATATGTAAAGGCATTAATTAGATCATTGCTAGAGTTCTTTTCAGCTCAAAATTCTTTTAATTTCACTGATTCCAAAATTTGTGATCCTGTAGCTAAATATAGTTGCTTTTAATATCCATCTTTTCTCCCTTAAAAATATGCTGTTTCCCTAAAAATAGGCTCCTTTATTCAAGAAATATGCTCTTAATTTTTTCCTGTTTCCTTAAAAATAGGCTCCTTTATTCTGTATGTGTGTTCTTAGTTGTTTTCCTGTTAACATGGAATTTTCTTCTCATATTTGGAGTTACCCTAAATCTTTTTAAACTGAACTTATAGTTGTTTCTTCAGATTACTAGTAAATATTGGTAGCAGCAGTACTGAAAGAATCACATATCCTACCTGGAGCTAAACAAAAAGTAAACTGTGGAACTGGGAAGACAGAGGCAGAGAATTTTAGTTTAGGAATCCCAAATTTGTATTTGGTTAATATTGTCCCTTTTTTTGTGGCATTGGTTATTTTCTAATAAAAGAATGGTAATACTTATATTTTAAGAATGGTAGTATTTTGGGGCGCCTGGGTGGCTCAGTCGTTAAGCGTCTGCCTTCGGCTCAGGTCATGATCCCAGGGTCCTGGGATCCAGCCCTGCATCGGGCTCCCTGCTCCGCGGGAAGCCTGCTTCTCCCTCTCCCATTCCCCCTGCTTGTGTTCCCTCTCGCTGTGTCTCTCTCTGTCAAATAAATAAATAAAATCTTAAAAAAAAAAAAAATGGTAGTATTTTTAAGTACATATTACATAAAAACAGAAGTATGGTATTTAATGTTCTTTGAAATGTCCTTAGGTTTCAGTCCTAATAACTCTCATTTCCTAAAAGTATGACCTTTGGCAAGTTATTTAATGTCTCTAAGGACCTGTCTTCATCTATGAGATGGATTTAATAATAGTACATTTCTTAAGATTAAAGGGGAAAATGCAAATAAGTGCTTTGAGGATACCTGGCACATAATAAGCACTCAATAAATGTTGGCTGTTATTATTATTTTAAGGTATTATAAAAATTTAAAGATTTTGATGTCTAAATCTGAAATTCATAATTCATAGTATTTTTAATTAGAAAATCTTACTACTACAGTATACCAAGGAAAAGAGTTTTATCCTTTGATAAAATTAATTTTGTCAGTTGGAAATAACTAAGTTTAATGTACCAGGAGTAATATGGGTCATCTTGCAATACTTTTAATCAGATCATTTGATTAATGTGAATTTGAATGAAGACTGATTTAACCATTTAGTAAGAACTTAAATTACTTTATCTTGGAAATGTACTTTTATTCACTAATTGGTATAAGGATCAAGGAGGGGAATAATAGGCCATCTCTTAAGAGACTGAGATTAGAGACTATAAGTTTAGACAAGATGTTTTACCCCTCTTGGTCTGTTTTCTCATCTTTAAAGTGAGGGGTTTTTTTTTTTGTTTTTTTTTTTTAAAGATTTTATTTATTTATCTGAGACAGAGAGAATGAGAGAGACAGAGAGCACATGAGAGGGGGGAGGGTCAGAGGGAGAAGCAGGCTCCCCGCCAAGCAGGGAGCCCGATGCGGGACTTGATCCTAGGACTCCAGGATCATGACCTGAGCCGAAGGCAGTCGCTTAACCAACTGAGCCACCCAGGCGCCCTAAAGTGAGGGTTTTATTAGATTGGTGGTTCTCCAACTTTTTGGTATCAGGACCGCCTTTCATTCTTAAAAGTTACAGGATCCCAAAGAGTTTTGTTTATGTAAATTATATCTAATGTCATTTAACATGTTAGAAGTTATACCCAAAAAATATTTTAAGTATTAATTCATTTAAAAATAACAATAAACATATTAACATAAATAACAATTTTATGAAAAATACCATATTTTCCAAAATAAAAAAATTTAACTAGAATAGTATTATTTTACATTCTTGCAAATCTCTTTATTCTCTAGCTTAATAGAGGATAGCTGGATTCTCACATCTGATTCTGCATTTAATTTGCTGCAACATTATATGGCACATGGCTTCTAGAAAACCCCACTGTACACTTACGATCAAAAAAGAGTTTAAAGGATAATTAACATCTTAATATTATTATGAAAATATGTTTCATCTAGAGAATACCCTGAAAAGATTTCAGGGATTCTTAGGGCTTCCCAGATCACTTTTTGAGGACAACCCCTAAGATTGCTGCAAGCTTTTAAAATTCTCATATTGGTGGCCATGTACCTGAAAACCATTCTTTACTAGAATCACCATTTTCCAAAACTATTTAAGTTGGCTTTCTCCCCATATGGGCAACTTAATCAGCCACTCAGTAAATGTTTCACTGACATCACATATTCTCTGACCTTTCTCAAATCAGTGTCTTCACTCTCTGATCCTACTTTTAGGCTTCGTGTTATTGCTAGAGAGTGTTTTAGAGCTATGATGATTGGACTCCCTTCAAATTATCCCATCTTCACTGTAGCTTAGCTGTCTATCCTCTTCGTCTCATTCATCCTGTCAGCCTTTTAGTCCTCCCCTATGAGCTATTCTGAACCTTTCTCCTCTTAAGCACTTAAATTCCCACTACTTCCTTTCTCTACTCTCATCAGATAGCTTTACCTCCTATTTTCAAAGAAAATTGAAGCCATCGGAAATGTCTTTCTTCTCTGTCGTTTTTGTTCTCATCTCTCTCCTGTATCATGGGGTATGCAAGTAGAAATCCTTGTTTACCATAAATTCACTCTCTGCACTTTCTTTTCTCTTGCCTTCAAACATACATGGTTCTCTTCCTCTTGAAAAGAATATTAATTTGACCCTGCTCCCTCCTCTGCCACTGTCCTGTTTCTTTCCTTCCTTTCACAGCCAGACTTCAAAGGTGAGTGGGCCACACTCACTGTTGTCTCTTTTTCACTCTTCATGAACCTTCTTAAACTTTTCTGAGTTTATAATCTCTTTCACCGCTCTACAGCATTAATACTGTTGACCAACCCCTTCATTCTAAGAACAAATTGGAGTTGAAGGGGCATAATGGAGCTATAATGAAGGTCAGTACGAATGCAAGATATTACTGTTACATGATCATTATTGAAATATTGGCTTCCATTCTGTGACCTAAGCATGTGGTATGGTATGGAAACTGCTATACTAAGATTGAGAAACCTGGATTCTAACACTAGTCAGTAACCATGGGACCTTCAGCAAGTTACTTACCTGGTTCAAGTTTCATTTTTCTTAACTGTGTCATAAAAATACTTCTGCATGCCTTATAGGTTGTTTTGAAGATTATATTAAGTAATTATATAAGAAAGTATGTTGAAAACTTAAAAGCATCATACAAAATGTACATTTATATTATTTTTATTAGTTGAATTGCTTAGAAGTATCTTTTCCTGTCCTGAAAGATTATTTTTCAAGATGCAGTTCATTGTTCTAAGATACTCATTTTTCATATTCTCCCAGCCTTTTTTTTTTTTTTTTTAAGATTTTATTTATTTGAGGGGCATCTGGGTGGCTCAGTCGTTAAGCGTGTGCCTTCAGCTCAGGTCATGATCCCAGGGTCCTGGGATCGAGCCCCGCATCGGGCTCCCTGCTTGGCGGGAAGCCTGCTTCTCCCTCTCCCACTCCCCCCTGCTTGTGTTCACTCTCTCGCTGTGTCTCTCTCTGTCAAATAAATAAATTAAAAAAAAAAGATTTTATTTGAGAGAGGGTGAGAGAGAGCACAAGCAGGGGGAGGAGTTAGAGGGACAGGGAGGGGGAAAAGCAGGCTCGCCACTGAGCAAGGAGCCTGATGCAGGGCTCGATCCCAGGACACTGGGATCAGGACCTGAGCCTAAGGCAGATGCTTACCGACTGAGCCACCCGGCACCCCCCCTTTTTTTTTTAAAGATTTTATTTATTTATTTGAGAGAGAGAAAGAGAGGGAGAGCATAAACAGGGGGAACAGCAGACAGAGGGAGAAGCAGACTCCCTGCTGAGCAAGGGAGCCCAATGCGGGACTCGATCCCAGGACTCTGGGATCATGACCTGAGCTGAAGGCAGACACTTAACAGACTGAGCCACCCAGGTGTCCTAAATTCTCCCAGCCTTAACAGTAATTCTTTTCAGTTAGATGAATTTGCTTATTTTCAGATAGATACTCCAGGCCTTTGCCTTCCTCCTGAGTACTAAGCTTGCATTTTCAAATACCTACTGAACAGTTTAGTCACTCTCTTTTTGTCTATAAGGCAGTTTAGAGAATGCAGAGACAGTGTATCTACCCTCAAGGAATTTCCAGGCTATTAGAGATGTATATAAATAAGGGTGAAAGTAGATAAAAGAAGTCCCATAAAAGAAGCAAAAAACATGCTACATGTAGTGGAACTATAGAAGAGGTAGATTTTAAACTGTTGCAGAGAAATAACAGAATTTAACCTAAACAAAATGAGATAGGGAGAAAAGGACATCTCAGCAAAGAACATGAGCAAAAAGTCAAATGAACCGGAAAGGGTAGCATACAAGTGGCAGGTTCAGGGTATAAGGGTATATAGAGGGGAAGAAAGGAAAGTTGATGGCAAATCAGATAACTTCTAAAGATGTATTATTTTCCCCTCAAATGTACCATATCTGAAAGCAAATTTCCTATCCCCTTTCCCCCCCTCCCACCCATTTATTTACAAACAGTGAATTACTTTTCCACCATTGCTTCAGATTGCAGCCTTATATAAGTCTTTGGCTCTGATGAAATGGTGGACTCAACTATGTCCGACACATGCTTTGTACTCTACTGGGTCCTTGCTTTGCTTAGTCCTTTCCCCCCTACCTAAAATATTTTTACCTCTCTTCAACATCTCTTTGGTTCCTTCCTACTTAAAATCCACTTCAAATTGTTCTATCAATTCAGGGAGTCATAGACTAAAGTCCTATCTTTTCTGACATTTTTAAAAGCATTAGTTATATACTATTTTGACTTGACAAATATATAGCGCCTATTATGTTGATTGCTATCCTAAACTGTTACTTAAATTTTACAGCATAATGTAACTTATCCCATGTTTTTGTTTTATCTCTCTTATTACATTGTAAGCCTTTATTAGAGCAGAAACCATGTATCTTATGGTTTAAATATTTAATATTTAAATTTTAATATTTAAGATTTATTAATGTATCTTATGGTCTTATGTATCTTATGGTTTAAATGTTTAATATTTAATATTTAAGTATTTAAATACTGCAGTGTGGGAGACACAAAAATCTTTGGATATGTAGCTGCCCAACACAGCAGCTACATATCCAGTTCTATCTTTGGGCCTATTTTGCAAATCACAATCAGGCCTAAGTGAAAGCATTATGAAGTTTCTGATTCTAAACCTATTTTTGACTAAAAATTTTATCTCCCTAATTCATAATTTTTGTACTTTGCGTGGGGGGAGTTCTTTGTCATCTGCTCTATCTTGTATTTGAAGTTATATTTCCTCCCACTTGATGAGAAACAGAAACAGTTGAACTGAACCAGAAGAATTCATAAGAAATCCCTAGGCACTGAAAACATCTATGTCAATGTCTTACTAAAAAAAAAAAAAAAATCTTAGATTTCTTTGAGATAATCATCTAAAATTTGAATTTTTAAAACATTTCATATGACTTTTTTGGGTAAGTTTTATCTTTTTTTTTTTATAGGTATGGAAAAGTTGAGGCCACTCGCATTTTGTTAGAAAAAGGAAAGTGCAATCCAAATCTTTTAAATGGACAGCTTAGTTCTCCTCTTCATTTTGCTGCTGGAGGAGGACATGCTGAAATAGTACAGATTCTCCTAAACCATCCAGAAGTTGACAGAGTAAGTTATTTTCCAGGTTTGTTTTTTTTTTTATGTTCAGACAATGAATAACAAGTAATGACATTAAAAGGTTCGATTGTGGGGCGCCTGGGTGGCTCAGATGGTTAAGCGTCTGCCTTCGGCTCAGGTCATGATCCCAGGGTCCTGGGATCGAGTCCCGCATCGGGCTCCCTGCTAGGCGGGGAGCCTGCTTCTCTCCCTCTGCCTCTCTCTCTCTCTCTCTCTGACTTTCATGAATAAATAAATAAAAAAAATTAAAAAAAAAAAAAGTTCAATTGTAGGGGCGCCTGGGTGGCTCAGTCGTTAAGCATCTGCCTTCTGCTCAGGTCATGATCCCAGGGTCCTGGGATCGAGCCCTGCACCAGGCTCCCTGCTTGGGGGGAAGCCTGCTTCTCCCTCTCCCACTCCCCCTGCTTGTGTTCCCTCTCTCGCTATATCTCTCTCTGTCAAATAAATAAGTAAAATCTTTAAAAAAAAAAAAAAAAAAGTTCAATTGTATACTTGAGAAGTCAACTAAAAAATTATACCATCTATATAGTATGAGTAATATTTATGTATAAATTTGCTTTTATAATTGTTTTTATTGTGATAAAATGTACCTCACATAAAATTTACCATTTTAACCATTTTTAGGTGTACAGTTCAGTGGCATTAAATACATTCACATTGTTGTGCAATCATCACTATCATCCATCTCCTGCATATACATAAAATTTAACCTCTTTTTGTGTTATACTGTATTTCCTCAAAAAACATCCTTAAGAAGGAAAAAGATTTTCTATGCATTTTTCCAGAATTTGTATTAATACATTTTTTTTTTTTTTTTAAAGATTTTATTTATTTATTTGACAGAGAGAGAGACAGCGAGAGCAGGAACACAAGCAGGGGAGTGGGAGAGGGAGAAGCAGGCTTCCTGCCGAGCAGGGAGCCCGATGTGGGACTCGATCCCAGGACCCTGGGATCATGACCTGAGCTGAAGGCAGACGCTTAACGACTGAGCCACCCAGGCGCCCTTAATACATATTTTTAAAGGGGGAAATAATCATTTAAATAATTTTAAACAAAACCTTTGTTGGATCTTATAATCAGAACTTTTAAAAAATAATCACATTTATTAGTGCTTTCAGTCTTTCATCTTTATCAAGTAATGTTTAAGTATAGTATATGCTAAGTATGGTTAATATTTAATATTTGACAAAAGTCTATTTTTTATGAAATTTTGATTGAATAACATTTTCACATATAATGCCATATATTTGTAATGCTTTTTTTCTTCGTATTTTTTTCCAAAATTTCTAGCACATAACAGATCAACAAGGAAGATCCCCTTTAAATATTTGTGAAGAAAACAAACAAAATAACTGGGAAGAAGCTGCAAAGCTATTGAAGGAAGCCATTAACAAACCAGTAAGAATTACCTTCAGGAATAGAACTAACCCAAATATTTAAATTGATAAGTAATTTGAGTATTTGTGGCAAGAGGAATGGATGGATGGTTTCTTTACTGCTTTTAGAAAACCTCATGGTTAGATCTCTTAAGTATTAAATCTGTTATCATCCCTAACATTCAGACATTTATTCTTGCATACCAAAATAAAAATTGCATAAGTAAATAAATCCTTAAAACATTTAATATTAACCTAATTTCTAGTATAATCGTAATACTTGATGCTGTCTGAAATAATAAGCAGTAACATTAAGATAGAGAAGAATTAACAATTAGAAAAAACTCAGTTCACCTAAAAGTTACAGTGACAAGAAAACTGTCATCAATTTAAAAACTGTATGAAAACTTGCAAACCAGATAAAAGGATTTATACCAAAGTATTAAAACTTGATATCAACAGATATAATCTCTGAGCCTTTCCAGACATTTCCATCAATTAGGCAATAAGTATTTATGGAGTATTTCTGTAAATTTAACACTTTGAAATGCTGAAAGTGACAGGTGATAAAGAATAAATATGTGATCTCTGCCTTTAAGGAATATTAACATACACACTCACCACACACTCAACAGATTTTGTCAAAATACTATTCCATGAGCACAAGACAAAGTTAAGGAAAGCAGTACAGGCACCCTTATATTATACTTGATTACAATTTATTTTTAATTGTATAGGACACATTATTATTCCTGGCATAATTTTTATATTCTAAATGAACAAGATAAGAGGAATTAGTACTTCCATCCAAAATGAACTGAGCTGGAAGTTGTTTGGGCAATAAAATGTATAGAGACTACATTGAAAAATGACAATGAGATATTACCTCACACCAGACAGAATGGCTAGTTTCAAAAAGGTAAAAAATAACAAGTGCTGGAGAAAGTGGAACCCTTGCTATTGGTGGGAATGTAGATTGGTGCAACCACTGTGGAAAACAGTATGGAGGTTCCCCCAAAAATTAAAAATAGAGGTACCATACGATCTGGTAATTCCACTACTGGGTATTTACACAAAGAAAATGAAAACACTAATTTGAAAAGATACATGCAATTGCTCCTCAGCCTTTTGGCTAAGATCAAGTGTGAAAAGATACGTGCATTTCTGTGTTTATTGCAATATTATTTACAGTAGCCAAGATATGGAAGCAACCTAAGTGTACATCAATAGATGAATGGATAAAGAAGAGGTGGTATATATAGACAATGGAATATTACTCAGCCATAAAAAAAGAATGAAATCTTGTCATTTGCAACGACACAGATGGACCTAGAGGGTATTTATTATGCTAAGTGAAATAAGTCAGACAGAAAGACAAATGCCATATGATTTCACTTGTATGTGGAATCTAAAAAACCAAACACAAAAAAAACAGACTCCTAAATATAGAGAACAAAGTGTTGATTGCTAGAGAGTAGGGATGGGTGAGGGATGGGCAAAATAGGTGACAGGGATTTTTAATAAAACATATTGAGAATATTACTACTTTCTGAGATGTTCTGAACAAGAGGAAAGAAACTGGCTCAGGGTCCATTGTTCCATAACTTTCACAGGCAGTCTTCCATCACAGATTCCTCTTAGGAAAAATTATTTCTAGTACACATTTCTACAGTATTATTTGTGGCCCAGTAGACTCATGAGATACCTGACTAACACTAGACTCGGTAACCAAGTCTCTGTGTCCCATATGATACCTACTTAGTTCAGTAACAGCTTTAAAACATCTCCCAGAAGAATTTGAAGTTGAGTATTTATTAAGAGCCATTTGCCTTATATATGACCTGAAACATCCAGAGGAAAACATTGGAAAACATAATGGAAATAAAAATTTTTTTAAACCGTGCCAACAGATACTCGAAGCAGTTTTCTGTTATTTTCCATGTTTGAAATCTATAATAAAACATATGAAGTTGAAATTGAAGCATTTTGTTAGGCTGGGATATATAACTTCTAACCAGGTTGCATAATTTATTATTGTTCTTTGTCCTAGTATGAAAAGGTTCGAATATACAGAATGGATGGATCATACCGTTCTGTTGAACTGAAGCATGGAAATAATACCACAGTGCAGCAGATAATGGAAGGAATGCGTCTCTCTCAAGAAACACAGCAATACTTCACTATTTGGATCTGTTCAGAAAACCTCAGTAAGAAAGTTGTTACTCTGTTGTGTAAACCTATTCCTTTGTGAGAGTGGATTGGTAAACTTAAGTATAGCATCAGTTTCTTAATGACTTTAAATTTTGAAGTGCTACAATGATCTTCTCTTTTATATAAATTACTAGTGTTCCAACTGTTGAAACAGGTAAGCCTTTGGGACCCCTCATCCCCCCTTCATTTAAAGCATTTTTTAAGTATTTGAAAACGTTTCTTCTCTGGCAATGGAATTTGATTTGAATGCCACTAAATGTAGTGCTCATCCAACTTGCCTTTATTTTCAGTGCTCATTTCACCCGAAATAATGTAAATGTTCCTTTTTCTTTATATTAGTTTTCCATCAAATTCTTTTTTTAAGACCAACCCGATGCCACTATAGATTTATCTTTCAAGCAAAGTATTGCAAATACATTGAAGTTATTGTGATTGGTTATTTAATGTTTAATTGTATTTTTTTTTAAAACACCAGATCCTACTGATTGGATCATAATTAAATAGACTATAATGGAATTAAAGATCTTATATACATTTGATATGTTTTATTTGTTTTAGGAATTCTCATAATTCTTATACTCTTAAAAACAAAAGCTCTTAACCTAAAATTGGGTTGTGATATAATTGGTTATAAAGTCAGTGACTTAAATTTAGACATTTAATTTGTGTGTATTCAGCACTTAAGTACAGATAGTTCAATACAAATTTTCTATGTGTTGATGTAACTTATTTTTACATTATTATTTATAAAAGGAAAGATGTTTTTCAGGCCTTCAACTCAAGCCTTATCATAAACCCTTGCAACATGTTCGTGACTGGCCAGAAATACTTGCTGAATTGACTAATTTGGATCCCCAAAGGGAAACACCACAGCTTTTCCTAAGAAGAGATGTGAGACTTCCTTTGGAAGTTGAAAAAAAGGTTTGCTTGTAAATCTTATTTATAGTCATATAAATGCACAGAATCTATTGAATTTCTGTGGTAGGCACTAGAAACAGAAATTGTTCTCTTCCTATATGAGGAGGTTTTACTTTTGTTTTTCTTTTAATCCTCACATCCCTAGGGTAAATGGTAGAGTTTGAGTTAGTCTACTTACAAAGCCCCTAGTTGTTTTTTTTTTTATTTCCACCTCCATTGTTTTAGAAACAAAAGAAATAGAGAGTCTATCCTAAAGAGAATTAACAACCAGATGGAAGACAGATTATACCAAAAAGAATTTTAGAATAGTTAGGAAGTATACTATCAAAGATAAACTTAATAAAGGGCTAATCAGTGTGTAAATTTCAAAGGAGCAAAGAGATAGGTTGGTGTGGGAGGAGAACAAAATACATTCTGAGTGGAGAAGATTATATTTGCAAAAGGGACATAAAAAGTTATTCTCAATAGTTAGTAAGTTTCCAAATCAAGCAGAGAATTATATAGATAGTAAAAAATGCGGATAGAATTTACATGTGATAAAAAGATTTGTTCCAGACAAGTACATTTGAATTTGAATTACTGTAGATTTTGGAGGAGAGGTGGGATAATGCTATCTGAAGGATGAATGAACAACAAAGAAACTTAAGGTGGATATTACAAGTTAAACTAGTGTGATAGTCTAAAAATTTTTTAAAATTGAAAAAAAAAAGTTCCAAGGGCTCGTAACTTTGGCAAAGAAAAAACATACAATGCATTTCCTGATTCTTATCCAAGGAAATATTAAACAAAGTTAAGGAAATTTTAGTATATAAAAGGTTCATCGACCATGTACAAACTTGGTAACTGTTTTATACCTGATCACTCATATTGTCCCTCTTATATTATCAAACCAAAGATAGATATGATCCTTTCAGTGACATATACTGGGAGTTACATAAAAATCTGTATGAAATTTACCAAAAACAGATTTAGATTATTCATAAAAAAATGTTAGAATTTCATAAATAGAACAGAGGAAGGGGTGCCTTGGGTGGCTCAGTCAGTTAAGCAGCTGCCTTCAGCTCAGGTCATGATCTCAGGGTCCTGGGATGGAGCCCGCACCCCTCCACCTCCCCACCCCCGTCAGACTCCCTGCTCAGTGGGGAGTCTGTTTCTTCCTCTGCCCCTCCCCCCCCACTTGTGCTCATGCTCTCTAATAAATAAATCTTAAGAAAAAAACCACAATTGATCATCTCAATTGACATAGAAAATGCATTTGACAAAATCCAATACCCTTTCAATGATAAAACTCTTACAATTAGGAATAGATGGGGAACTTCCTCAACATGATAAGTGGCATTTATGTAAAACTCACAGCTAACATCATACTCGATGAAATGTTGAGAGCTTTCCTCCTAAGATCAGGAACAAGACAAGGAGGCAAGCTTTCAGCACTGCTATTTAACATAGTAGTGAAGTTCTAACCAGAGCAATTAAATTTAAAAAAGTACATAATAATATCTAATATGTGATCCACATTAAGATTTTCCCCAATTGTTTAAAAATCTTATATAGCTCCCATATGTAGGATCTAGTCAAGGTTCATACTTTGTATTTGATTGTTATCTCTTTAGTCTCTTTTAATCTAGAATAATCCTCTCATCTTTTTTCCCCATGAAATTCTCTTTCAGTTTTTTTTTCATATTATATAGAGCATTATAAGATTATTTTAGTTAGACAAAATAACTTTTACCATAAGGATTTGAGATCACTTTGAATTATATTTGGAAATACTTTTTTAAGATTTTATTTATTTATTTGAGAGAGTGCAAGCAAGAGAGAGAGCACATGCTGGGTGGAGGGGCAGGGGGAGAGAGAGAAGCAGACTCCCCGCTGAGCAGGGAGCCCAACTCCAGGCTCCATCCCAGAACCCCAGGATCACGACCTGAACTGAAAGCAGACACTTAACTGATTGAGCCACCCAGGCGCCCTGGAACTACTTTAAGTATTCATTCAGAAACTCTATGTAACTGTTTCCAGTTGGAGCAGAAGTATATTCTGTAGGCTAGCTTTTCAATCTTTGTTAATCTTATTGGATAAAATGAAACTTTATAGAGTTCGAAACTTAGAAAAAAAGTCTTCTGCTCTCCTTTAGTGTTATTTCGAAGTGCCAAGTTTTTTTAGCCAAATAAAATTTTAAAAAAAGTTTTTAAATAAGGTTTTTTAAAACTTCGTGTGCCCTTCTAGGAATTAACTTGCTTCCTTTTATCTTCCTTGAGGTTCACTACTATATTGTGTGAAACATGTAGAATAATGTTTGAGGCATATAAATATAATTTAGGTAAAATTGTGCTAGAAGTTATCCATACCTATAAACCAATGATAATCTCTTATTAGACTGTAAATCAGAGATAAACAAACTATAGCCTATGCTATATTTGACCTGCTGTTTATTTTTATATACCCCACAAGCTGTTAATGGTTGAAAAAAATCAAAAGGATAATATCTCATGTCATGTGAAAATTTTATGAAATTTAAATTTGAGTATTCATATATAAAAAGTGTTATTAGAACACAGCCACACCCGTGTCTTACTAGATTGTCTGTGGCTGCTTTTGTGCTACAGTAGCTGAGTTGGGTAGTTGTAAGAAAGACTTTGTGACTCATAAAGCTTAAAATATTATTATCTGGCCCTGAACAGGAAAAATTTGTCAACCTCTGCTCTAAATCAATAGCAGCTCATTTATATATATTAGAAAGTGATAAGTTGTATTTTTGTAACAGGAAATTATAGCCCAATAACCAAATTATACTTTTTCCTTTGAAGATTGAAGACCCACTAGCTATTCTTATTCTCTTTGATGAAGCCAGATATAATTTATTGAAGGGCTTTTATACAGCTCCTGATGCTAAACTGATAACATTGGCAAGTCTACTGTTGCAAATAGTTTATGGAAATTATGAGAGTAAGAAACACAAGCAAGGTTTCCTAAAGTAAGTATTTAATACAACATGTGGTCTTGTGCTGTGCTTGAGATTCTGTTTAACTGAGAAAGTTTAAAAATGTTATTAAGAAATATTTATACTTTGGTTTGGAACTAAAGGATACAAGGCATGGAATAAGGAAAAAACAGAACAATAGTAAAGCATTCTTAAAGTTATACTCTCTGCAAAGATACTTTTCTTATATTTGACTATGGTTTGATATATCTTATTTTTTTTAAAGATTCTATTTTTTTAAGTAATCTCTGCACCCAACGTGGGGCTCAAATCCACAACCCTAAGATCAAGAGTTGTATGCTCTACTGACTGAACAAGCCAGGCACCCCTTGATATACCTTATATTTTTTTCTTCTTTATCTCTCTTTATTACATTAAATAAGTTCATTAAAACCTGACTCGGTAAGTAGATGTATTTAAGATCTACCACAAAAACTAGCTACATGTTCAGTCTTTGAGAGAAAACACTGAAGTTTTAAACACTGAAGCTTTATCGTGGTTTTCAATTTTCAAAAATATTTTGTGGCTGTTGAAGAAACATTTCTCTTAAATGAGAATGTTGGGATTGTGGCCTTTTGCTTAAAATTTTGAGAGTTATTGTACAATATAGATTTTTCAGCTCAAAAATCATGTTACTTAAAGCAGTTTGTTTCTGGATGATTTATGTACTTACTGCTAAAAATGATTTATTTAAAGCATGTTGGCATATTTGCTTACAGTGAAGAAAACCTAAAATCCATTGTACCTGTTACCAAACTAAAAAGTAAGGCACCTCACTGGACAAACCGAATACTTCATGAATACAAGGTAAGCTGTTTAATAGAAATAAAAAGACATTTTATATCCTAGTTGAAATTTTGTAAATTAAATTGTTTGAAATTGTTTAATATGTTTTAAATATAGTACATTAAATTTACAGTCCTGAAATTAAAAATGGATTTTCTAGTTCACATGAAACTGGAAGTAGCATATTTTTATTTTTAATAATGTGGAATCTTTTACTGAACACCTTCTGTATGCTGGATACTGTGGTAAGGACTAGAGATTAAACACACACACACACACAACACACACACACACACATGAAATTATACACTATCCCTGTCCAAGGAGCACTTAAAACCTAATAGAATAGACAAACAGTATTTTTAGATTATGATATTTCTTTACTTTTTTAAATATTAACATCTCAAAAGAAAACTTGTTCTTGGGATAATGTCACAATTTTATTCTTCTTTGGGGGCAGCCATGATTTTAGAAACTGCTTAGTTGACCTATTTGGATTATCAAAAGTATGTTCTCTTTTCACATCTCTTTTATTTTACTTTATTTGTTTTTAGAATCTTAGTACAAGTGAGGGTGTCAGTAAAGAAATGCATCACCTTCAGCGCATGTTCTTACAGAATTGTTGGGAAATTCCTACATATGGAGCAGCTTTTTTCACAGGACAGATATTTACAAAGGCAAGCCCCAGCAATCATAAAGTCATCCCTGTGTATGTAGGAGTGAATATAAAAGGACTTCATCTCCTCAACATGGAAACTAAGGTAGATTTTCAGCTTTTCAGCTATTTTTGACCAGTTACATTTTATAATGTCTAAAAAAAAATGGTACCAGCCTATATGAAAAATCTAGAAATGACAAATATATAAGACTATTCATTGCAATTTCATTTGTAATAGCAAAGGATGAGGGATGAAAAGTAAATGATTGTCAGTAAGGGTTAATTATATTATTAACATATACTAATTATATAATTATATTAATTATAGTACATTTCTATGTTGAAATACTGTGCAGCCATATAAAAGAATGAAGAACGTATAGAATGATTTCCAAGATATATTTAGTGAAAAAGCATAGTGGTGAGCCATATGTAATAGGTTACTATTTGTGTAGAAATGGGGGAAGTGAAGACTATATTTACATAAATACATATTGCTTGTGTATGAGTAAAAATTCATAAAGCCTTTAGAGAAGGCAACCAGGTAACTGGGAACAAGAGTAGAAGGGAGACTTTTTACTATGTACCATTTTGCAACTTAAAAATTTTTTTAACCGTGATAATATTACCTATTCAAACAATTCAATTAAGTTTAAATGAAAAAAATACAGATTAAAAAAAGAAAAATATAATATCTGATACAAGGGATTCACTTTGAAAATCAGAATTAGTAGTAAGAGCCTTTTGGGGAACAGGCAAGATGAAGTGTGGAAGGGACTATTCTTAGATCACTTCAGAGCTTTTCCATCAGAGGCTTGTTACTCTTCTATACTCCTTTTTCTAATCAGAGTCATTATAATATAAAATTTGGGATTATCAATTATTTTCAGCATATTTAACACATTTATCAGGATTAACAGCTTTCTAGTTTGTAATAGGAAGCTAAGAAAAATCATTAATTTTGTTCATTCAGATTTGTCTATGAATAGATCAGTTGAGGTAATAACTAAGCTTATATGTTAGAAAAGGCATTTTAGATTAGGAAATTTTATCATAAGCCTAATTTTTATTTTCATCATTTTCATAGGCTTTTATTGTGTAATCACATAACTTCTGAAAGTAGTTCAGTCATTTTGTGATAACTCCAGACACAGCTATTTTCCCATGCTCTTGGATATGCCTGTGAATGGAGACAGAGAATATATAGGGACATAGAGCTGAATAGGGACTGACTTCAGGAGTTTATCTGGAACTTGATTTTTTTGAAGTCTCTGATACCAGCTTGCTTTTGGGTCATTTGCTTATTATCATTTTCTATTTAAGCTACTTTACTCATACAAAATAGGCTGCTTCTTATTAGTTTGTAATCATTTTTCTATTTCTTTTGTATTAAGTTTGTTAAAGGAAATTGAAGGAGAAATTCCCCTTACAAGCATTTCAAGAAATTTTTCCTCTGCTATTTCAGAGCATTTTATACAACATTTACAAATCCTTTATTGAACTAAATGTGATGCTGTGGGTATGACACCAAGCCTCTTCTGTAAGCTATAGTGTATGTTTGACTTTTGGTAGCATCCCAAGTTTAGGCAACGATAAAATGTGTTATTTAGTTCCCATATGATGGGTCAGCATTATCTTAAAACATTTCACATTATGAATAATATTCTGGTCCAGGAGTAAGTGAGATTGCAGTAGCAGGCAGAGGATAACAATATTATTAGTTAACAGTATGCTTTTTTAGGATAAGATGTTTGATTTCTAGAAATATAAATAAAAATACTGTCTTTGGTTATAAGAAGGGATTAAACCAAAGGGTAACAATGTTTTCTGTCCATCTAACTATTACCTTGTGCTCTGTAAACCACTGATAAATTTACAGCACCTATGAAAGCTCTAAGTTGATTATATTTTCTAATCATCAAAGGTGGGAGCAGTCAGCTTGTCTTCCCTTGTCTTACAGTCATCAAGATAGGCTAGGGGTGAATTTGACAAGCTTACTTTAAGAGAATAAACATCTTCATTTGCAAAAATACCTTCATTTACATTTAAAACTCTACTTGGGATATAATAGCTTCAGAGATTAAATCTATGAAAAGCCATAGATAGAATATAGCTGTGTTTTTTGTATCAGTTACTTCTATCATCTATATCTTGTTTCTCTTTGAAATAATGAGAGATTCCCATTGGAAAGTATAGCCCAGCCAATTTCATATGCTCATCAGAGATTTTTCTGTCCTACTTACATAAAATGTAGACACTGTTGAATGTATAGTACACTGTGTTGTAGATCAGTGTTTTATATAGTGAATGTATTGCTGTTTCATCACTGAACTGTACTTGTTAATATTATCTTTAACCATAATAGTACTACTGCCACACCCAGGCAACAGATTACCCTTTGCTGATACGAATTTATGTTGGCCATATAATTGAGGGCTTGTAGCACAAGTTTCTTTTTTTTTCTGTAAATTAAACTGTTTTGAGGCCATACTAATGAACATTTTCTGCATCTTGATTAAACAGATTTCAAACAACTGATCCAAAAGATAGACAGTTTAAGGTATTATATCTTGACTCAGTGTTTCAGTGTGTACCTTGGTAAATAGCTATTTTAGCATACCCTATCTATAAAGCTGTATTTTACAGTATAAATGTGGATGGCTAATTTTAAAGAAGATATTATTAGTTTCCCATTATACATAATGTACACTCGTGAAAATTAATTATACTGTTTCATTTAAGAACCTCACTTTAAAAATGCCCTAAACCATATCTTTTTCATATAACTTCAATTGCTTATAATCAATATGTTAAGCACTGCTAGTCAGAATACAGATGTTCTTAGACATGTATTTTAAAGGATGCACAAATACTTTCTTTGTACATGTGTATATAAAGAATATATTTTTAGGGCCAGAAAATGAAAGTTACTGCTAGGAGAGACTTATTTTAAAATAATCAAAAAGAGGGGCACCTGGGTGGCTCAGTCGGTCAAGCGTCTGCCTTCAGCTCAGGTCATGATCCCGGCGTCCTGGGATCGAGCCCCGCATCGGGCTCCCTGCTCCGCGGGAAGCCTGCTTCTCCCTCTCCCACTCCCCCTGCTTGTGTTCTGTTTCTTGCTGTGTCTCTGTCAGATAAATAAATAAAATCTTAAAAAAAAAAAAATCAAAAAGATACATTGAATGCCTATTTAAATATAGCTTTTCATTAGGAAAATATAGGAATAGGTTATTCTAATATTTGTTTTAAATAATTTGATGAATTTATGAAGGGTATGTTATTTTAAAAATTATACTTATTTTTACAATAGCTGTATCACTGTACTTATTTTCAGTGAGATGGAATTGCCTAAGTCAGCATGCTACCTCATTACATAAATTTCAGATCTGAAAGTACCATGTGAATATTCAAAAGGTACTGAATAAAGTTAAAGGGAATGTTTTTAATATGCAGAAAGTAAAAACCTGTACATTTAATTTTCTTGAAAGTCACTGAGAGAATGGGCATCTTTTTTCTCAGCTTTATTGAAACATAAGTGACATATAACATTGAGTATGCTTAAGGTATACAATGGGTTGATTTGGTATACTTATATATTGCAAAATGATTATTACCATAGCATTAGCTAACACCTCCATCATGTTACAGAATTACCATCTTTTTTGTGATGAGAACATTTAAGATCTACTCTTTCAGTAACTTGAAGTATATATTATAGTATTGTTAACTATAGTCACAATGCTGTACGTTAGATTCCCCAGAACTTACTCATCTTATACCTGCAAGTTTGTACTCTATGGCCAACTTCTCCTCATTTCACCCATCCCCCAGCCCTTGGTAGCCACCATTCTGTTTCTGTGTCTGTGACTTCAGCTTCTTTAGACTCCGAATTAAGTGATATCCTGTAATATTAGTCTTTTTCTGACTTATTTCACTTAGCATAATGACCTCGAGGTCTATCCATGTTGTCGAAAATGGCAGTACTTTCTTCTTTTCTCATGGCTGAATAATATTCCCGAGAGAGAGAGAGAGAGAGAGAGTGTGTGTGTGTGTGTGTATACATACCACAGAACAGGCATCTTTAAAATATTTTGTCAGTCTGATACAAACAATTTATCATTGCTTAAGACAGTCTCCTGAGAGTCTACCATCTGTGTGGCTCTGTACTTTAGGCTGTGTGAAGTTAATGTAGGTACCTCGAATAGATTTTATTCTAACATTCAAAACCATTATGTTTAGACATGACTAAACATTGTAGATAGTAAGACATAGTTAGACATTGTAGATAGTAAGAGAAGATAGGTGTTGTTTTTAATATATATTTTAATAAAACAGTTTCTAATTATGTTGCAGGCTTTACTCATCAGTCTTAAGTATGGTTGTTTTATGTGGCAATTGGGGGATGCTGATACATGTTTTCAGATCCATAGTATGGAAAATAAAATGAGCTTTATAGTACACACAAAACAGGTAAGTACTTATCATTTACTTTGGACTTCTAATGAACTACTGTATTAGTGATGTGATGAGCACTGGGTGTTATACGCAACTAATGAATCATTGAACATTACATCAAAAACAAATGATGTATTATATGTTGGTTAATTGAATTTTTTAAAAAAGGAAAAAAATTTTTTTAAGTGACAATCCATTTTGCTTCAAGGAAAACCTTTGATATCGTATGAAATTAAGATATTTAAGACCAAGGGGAAAAAGGCAGGCCTTTCCTAAGCAAATAAGCCAGAAACTTATCTGAATAATTTATTTCGGTTTTATAACAGTGAAACTCTTTTTTTCTGCCATTTCCTTTAAGTCTGGTCAGTATTCCCTATCTCTTTTATCAAGGTATTAGGTAGTCCTTACCTCTTCTTAACCAGTATTGTATCTGAGCCACTAGCTGCATCCGGTAGGTTGCTTCTTAAATCCCTTCAAAGTCTAAGTATTCTCTTTATTCTTGACAAGCTGCTTCCTACTAAGAATGTTCCTTCCTTTTCAGATAGATAGGGAACTGCCCACTGTCATGTATGTCATTTACCCATTCTTATGTGTTTCATATTTACTGCCGACATATATTTTACTTTGTAGGCTGGCCTTGTGGTAAAACTATTAATGAAGCTAAATGGACAGTTAATGCCGACCGAAAGAAATTCATGAGAGGAAAGCAGCTGATACTTAAGCCAACAAATTTTGTAATGCAGATTTTTTTCCATGAAAGATTTCTTAAACTATTACTTTTAACAAGGCATTTAGTCTCTTGTAATATATATGTATACTATTACATTGTACAGAATCTGTACTTCTGTTTGGTGTGTAATATACCAGTTAGTTTTATATAATATCCTCATAAGCTATTCTAATTTTTGAGAGAAACATGCAAAAAAGTGTAGATTGATCACTTGTATATTAATGGACAAAACAGTATGCTTTATAAAAAGTTATTTTTCGTAAATGGTAAAGAATTTGGAGTGCAATGTAATGAAATTAAAATATAGCTTTGGTATAACTTTGTGTGTCATTTCAAAATATACTGAAAGTTAACAAAGTTGAATAAAGAAAATATATTTCCTATTTAAACCACATAACACTGCTATTTCAAACATTTTTCTGTAATCCAAGAAAATTTCTCAACATGTTTTTAAAAGTCTTAGTTAAAATGTGTAACTAGTATAAATTAGTATTTCCCAGAGTATAGTTCTTGAAACCCCCTGCCTCATAATTAACCTGGATCCCTCTTTAAACAAAGATTTCTGGGACTAAGTATATACAAGTTCATTCACTGTCTAAAAGTAGCCAGTCCTAGGAATCTTAAATTTGGCTTGCTTTCTATTGAAATAATTCCAGACCCAGTCATGAATTTGTATGAAAATAAATGACACAAAAGTGCCTGGCATACAAGCATACACATATATAGACACAGATTAAGTGACAATCTCTGGATATAAGTGGTTGCATTTATTACATAAATGTTGTATTTTTATGATTTGGCTTAATGAATTATATTGCCTTTACATTGTAGGAAGTAGATCACCGAGTATCTGTTTCATTTAGGGGAGTACTGATACCATAGATGAGGAGCTAACTGACTCGTAATCTGAGTCGTCTGACTCATCTTGACTAATCTGCTATTTAATAAGTTTAGAAACTAGTTTTTCCAAGCTAGCAGATTGATGTATTCTAAGTACAGAGATACAGTAGTCATATTTGAAGTTGTCCTAAAGATAGCAGATAATTTTTATACATCGTAATTTACACTTCACATTAATTTCTGCTTATTTCAAATGGTGCTCTTTCTGAGCCTTATTAAAATTATATGGTTAAGTAAATTGAATGAGAAAGCCTGCTTTATCTCTAATTCTGTGCTAAGCACTTTTGATTCTACATAGACAATGCCCTGTTCGGTTTCATTCATTCCAATGGCCTCAACTGAAATACCCTGATGACTCCCAAACCTAAAATTTCAGCCTCAGATTCTCTTCTGAATTCTAGATCTTAATTTCCAATTTCCTGCTATTCTAGCTCTACCTAAATGGCGTACAAAAGGAACTTCTATTTCATCATAGCTGGAAACAGAATCTGTTTCCTCTGCTTGCTCAATTCTGTCCTTCCACTTGAATTCTCTGTTTGGTTAGTGGCATCATCAAATTGCATCCAGTTGCTTAGCCTGGAAATCCTGGAGTGGTTTTCAGCCTCTCTCTCCTTTCTTATCCTAGACATTCCATTTATTGGGTCTTATCAAATGTCTTGTGAGTGCTTTCCCATTCCCTTCCTCCCTGGTTGCACTGTATCTACCCTAGTTCAAGTCCTTACCACCTGTTCCTAAGTTTGTTTAACTTCCTCCCTGGCTTTCCCTGGCTGAGGTTCTACACCCTGCCTGCGTATCAGCCACACTGGTGCCAAGTTCACCTTTCTTACAGATCTGATAATTTCATTACCTTCTGAAAACCTTTCATGGTTCCTTAGTATATGTAGAATTAAATTCCATTTCCTTAGTATTGAATACAGGGCCCCTAATTACATGGTCTCTAACCTTCCTATCCAGATTAATGTGTAACCACCTTTCCCACACTCATCCTGTGCTCCAACCCAGTGTTTCCTAACCCTGGTTCTGAAGTCATGGGGGGAGTTTCACTAAATAATGACTCAATAAATGTAGGGTGGGGCTCAAGGATTTGTTTGTGTGGGGTTTTTTTTAAAGATTTTATTTATTTATTTATTTGAGAGATAAAGCGAGAGAGCACAAACAAGGGGAGCAGCAGAGGTAGGGGGAGAAGCGGGGCTGGATCCCAGGACCCTGGGATCATGACCTGAGCCGAAGGCAGACGCTTAGCTAACTGAGCCATTTAGGCGCCCCAGGATTTCTGTTTTTAAAGTGTCCCATGTAATTTTGATGTACAGCTAGGATTTAGAATTGCTCTTATAACCAACTTGAAGAATTAGCTAAATGCTTTCCCTTTCTCAGAGGGAGGTGAGGATGCAATGATACTACATCAAACAACTCCCTGCTCCGTAGAATACAGTGTACCCTCCTGGACTTACACAGTATGGCAACCCAGTAGAGAAGGGAAGACTATTAGAGTAGCTTGGTATTAAAGGCTTAAAAATACATAGCATTAGAAAGTCAATTTTCAAATATAGTATTGAGGGAAAAAAATGATCATTTTCTGTCAGAGCATAACCAGAAATAAACAATAATAGAAATACAAACAAGCAGGTTTTAATGAATGCCTAGTATTGGTCAGACATTGTATGTCCATACCATTTTCCTTTTCATCATTCTTTCAATAAATCTTGAGTGCCATTTATGTGCTAGGGATCCAGTGGTAAGAGAAACAAAGCTCCTGCCTTTAGGGAACAAAGTTTAATGAGGGATACAATAAATACTCATGGAAATACATATTTATAAAGTCCAATAAGTGATGAAAGAAAAATAAGTGTATTATGTAAGCATAAAGTCGGAAACTTGATCTAGCCTTAGAGATCAGGAGAGGCATCCCTGAGCAAGTGATGCTTGAGCTGGCATCTGAGGGGTGAGAAAGAAGGGTATAAAGACATTTAAGGGAGAAGGGAAATGGAGTGAGATGTTTTGAGCCCAAGAATGGTCCTGAAGAATTGATAAAATTTTCTCATTTTTAGCTAAAAAGTAAATTCAAACAATTATCCAAATCACAACAAATGAGTTTCCATTTTAGAAATAAAACCAGATCAGTGAGATCATATCATACATGTCTTTCTCTGATCTCACTGATATGAGGAATTCTTAATCTCGGGAAACAAACTGAGGGTTGCTGGAGTGGTGGGGGATGGGAGGGATGGGGTGGCTGGGTGATAGACACTGGGGAGGGTATGTGCTATGGTGAGCACTGTGAATTGTGCAAGACTGTTGAATCACAGACCTGTACCTCTGAAACAATACATTATATGTTTAAAAAAAAAGATAGTAGGAAGGGAAAAATGAAGGGGGGTAAATTGGAGGGAGAGATGAATCATGAGAGACTATGGACTCTGAGAAACAAACTGAGGGTTCTAGAGGGGAGGGAGGTGGGGGTATGGGTTAGCCTGGTGTTGGGTATTAAAGAGGGCACGTACTGCATGGAGCACTGGGTGTTATACGCAAACAATGAATCATGGAACACTACACCAAAAACTAATGATGTACTGTATGGTGATTAACATAACATAATAAATAAATAAATAAATAAATAAAAATGGAAAAAAATAAAAGAAATAAAACCAGAACAGCTAACACTGCAAAGACAAACGTATTAGAAAAAACTTGAAGAACACCTAAGATTAAAAGTTGCCAAAACTGACCACCCCTACCATTAGACCTGATGGAAATATTTAACAAAGTAAAACTGGCCACAGTTCTTTTTTTTTTTTTTTTTTTAAGATTTTATTTATTTATTTGACAGAGATACAGCGAGAGAGGGAACACAAGCAGGGGGAGTGGGAGAGGGAGAAGCAGGCTTCCCGCAGAGCAGGGAGCCCAATGTGGGGCTCGATCCCAGGACCCTGGAATCATGACCTGAGCCAAAGGCAGACACTTAAGGACTGAACCACCCAGGTGCCCCAAACTGGCCACAGTTCTTGACCAAATTTAATAGATGAACTGGATCAATAAAATTTAGAATTTAATTTGATCCTGAGGAACTCAATAGCAAAAACTAATTGGCAGTATTAAATATATGCAAAAAAAAACTGATTGATGAATCAATTCCTTGCTTTATAATTTATACAGAAAAATACTCCCAATGAAAATAATTTCAGTAAAATGAAATGGAAAAAATATAGTTTTTGCTGTGCTTTGTAGAAAACTGATGAATTAAGGTGGCTTGAGTTCATGCAAAAAATACTTTCTCAATAAAAATCCATCTGTGATGGTATGATTCTCATTTAAAGTTTGTATTCATAAGGTCAAATGCCTTTAGAGTATTTGGAGAGGCAGAGGTAGGCTGACTGAGAAAGCCCTAAGGCAAAAGAAGGGCAAGCCCTGGGAGTTCTTAGAGGCAAGAGTGCTTGAGGCAAAGGAAATATCTTTAAGACATCTTAAAATGTGAGAAAAGTAATTTCAATACATTGTACTAATTTCTATGATAGAAGGAAGCACTGGGGGCGCCTTGGTGGCTCAGTTGGTTAAGTTTCCAACTCCAGTTTTACTCAGGTCATGATCTCAGGGTTGTGAGATCAAGCCCTTTGTGGGCTCCATGCTCAGCAGGGAGTCTGCTTGAGATTCCTTTCCCTCTGTCCCCATCCAGCCCTACTCACTGTCTCTATAATAAATAAATCTTTAAAAAAAAAGGGGGGGGGGCGCCTGGTGGCTCAGTCGTTAAGCGTCTGCCTTCAGCTCAGGTCATGATCCCAGGGTCCTGGGATAGAGCCCTGCATTGGGTTTCCTGCTCGGTGGGAAGCCTGCTTCTCCCTCTCCCACTCCCCCTTGCTTGTGTTCCCTCTCTCACTGTCTCTCTTTCTGTCAAAAAATAAAATCTTTGAAAAAAAAAAAAGAAGGATGCACTGGTTGTTCGGGATTTATTGGAAGGACACCAACAATGGATGGGAAATTAGGGACTGACTTACCCATCAGTTAAATAATAACAATAGCTAATACTTAAAATGGTGCTTACTAGCATTGTTTTAGATATATTAATTCATTTAGATATATTAATTCATTTAGCCCTTACAATAATCACGATGAAGCAGATACTGTTATTCCCATTTTACAGATGAAGAAACAAAGTTAAGTAGCTTGCCAAAGAGAATATAACTTAAGTGGTGGAGCTGAGATTCATATCAAGGTAGTCTGGCTCCAGAGTATTAATGGATCAGGAACATGATATGTGATTGTAATAAAAACATAACAAGATATTTGTTTTCTTCTAAAAAGGTTAGAAGTCAAACTTTTCTAACACAGTGTTGTAAATACTTTCATTTTCATACACTATATTACTTTGAATACAATTGTATATGGAGAGGTTATGTTACTTGTCTAAGGTCAAAAACCAGTAAGTGGTAGAGTCATAGTTTAAAATCTGGCAGCCTGGCTTCTGTATTCAGACATTTGTCAGGTAAAGGAGAAGAAGCTGGGGAGGATTAAAAAAAAAAAAAAAAAAAAGACCATATTTTGAAGGATGTTGTGTTTCCTGCTAATGAGGAGCCACTGGAGCCTTTGGGACTTGACTAGCTCAGATTTGTATGTTAAGAGATCACCCTGGGCCAGTGTACAGAAGGGCTCAAAGGGATCTGAGCAAGAAAGTATAAGACAATGGGGAGAAGTGGATTAATGTTTTGACGAAACCCAGTGACCTTTTGGATATGGGAACTAAGGAAGAGATAGGAATCATAAATCCCCTCTTTCCATCCTGGGCAACTGGGAAAATGGTATCATAAACTGCCTAAGATAAGGAATGGAGGATCCCATTTGAAGAAATGTACTGAATTCCATTGAGAAATGGGCAAAAGTAGAGCAGCCCCAAAGCATCTCATTAGGCAAATGGTATCAGTATGCAAAAGAAATAGCTTGGTACCATCCTGCATACTGTATATTCAATAAATTTCATATGGCCAAAAATTAAATATTAAAAAAATCTTTAATATCACTAGAGAAAAACAGACTAGTATATTTTAGTGACAGTACATTTATGGGTATCATGAGAGATAACAGGTGTTTAAAATGCCTTTTAAATGTATACAATATAAAGGAAGGCAAAAGAATCAAGGAGTTTAGAGCAACTAACAGAAATGCACAATGGCTAACATTTGGCTATATATGGCTAAGAGGAATGCAAAATGGCAAAACTATTTTGGAAGAGTCTGGTAGTTTCTAATTTTTTTTTTTTTCTTATTAGAGAGAGGGAGGGGCAAAGGGAGAGGGAGAGAGAGAATCTTAAGCAGGCTCCATGCCCAGGGCAGAGCCCAACCCCACAACCCTGAGATCATGACCTGAACCAAAAACAAGAGTCAGATGCTTAACCAACTGAGCCACCCAGATGCCCCTGGAAGAGTTTGGTAGTTTTCTAGGTTAGATAGACACCTACTATGGAACCCAGTCATTCCACTCCTGGGTATTTATCAAGGAAGAAAAAAACATATTCACACAAAAATCTGTATTCAGACTTTTATAGGATACACTTTTCATTTTTTCACAATTCATATGAAATATAATTATTGATAACTGCCCCAAACTGACAACCCATATATCCTTTGATGGGTGAGTGAAACAAACTCAGATATATCAATATGAAATATTACTCAGCAACAAAAAAGAATAAAATATTGATGAACAATATGGATGAATTTCAAATACATTATGCTAACTAAAAGAAGCCAGACTCAATGGTTTATATACTACAACATTCCATTTAGATGACATTCTGGGAAAGGCAAAACTATAGGATCAGAAAGCAATGGTGGTTATTAGAGGGTAAGGATGGGAGTGAGGGGATGTGGGAATATAAAGGGGAAGCATGAGGGAATTTGGGGAAGTAAAAGAACTGTATCTTGGGATGCCTGGGTGGCTCAGTTGGTTAAGTGCATGCTTTCAGCTCAAGTCATGATCCCAGGATCCTGGGATTGAGTCCTGCACTGGTCTCCTTGCTCAGCGGGGAGCCTGCTTCTCCCTCTACCTGCCACTTTCCCTGCTTATTCTTTCCCTCTCTCTCTGGCAAATAAATAAATAAATAAATATTAAAACAACAACAAAAAAACCTGTATCTTGACTGTGATTGACAAATAGTGTCTGTCAAATCTCATGAAATTGTACATCAAAAAAGGAAATTTTACTATATGTAAATTTTAAAAGCATATTTAAGAAAAGATCACAACTTGCTATACAAGTGTTGAAAATTCACTAAAAATATATAAAAATTTAGTAGAAATTTAAGTCAGTATCCACATTCCAATAGGGAGTGGTCAAAGGTTAACAGAGAGTCTATGTTCAGAAATGCAGACAACTTTAAAATATGGGGAAATATACATTTATTATATTTATATATATATATATATTATAAATAATTAAAGATACAAATGTAGTGATCCAAAGGGGCACCTGCACCCCAATGTTTATAGCACCAATGTCCACAATAGCCAACAGTGGAAAGAGCCCAGATGTCCATCGACAGATGAATGGATAAAGATGTGGTGTGTATGTATATACACACACACACACACACACACACAATGGAATACTACTCAGCCATCAAAAAAATGAAATCTTGCCATTTGCAATGACGTGGATGAAATTAGAGGGTATTATGCTAAGTGAAATACGTCAGTCAGAGAAAGACAATTGTCATATGATTTCACTCATATGTAGAATTTAAGAAACAAAACAGAGGAGCATAGGGGAAGGGAGGAAAAAATGAAACAAGATGAAATCAGAGAGGGAGACAAACCATAAGAGACTCTTAACCACAGGAAATAAACTGAAGGTTGCTGGAGGAGAGGGGGGTGGTGGGATGGGGTAACTGGGTGTTGGGCATTATGGAAGATACATGATGTAATGAACAGTGGGTGTTGTATGCAACTGATGAATCCCTGAACTCTACCTCTGAAACTAATAATAAATTGATTAATTAATTGAATTTAAATAAAAATAAAACTTTGCTAACAAAAATGTAAACCCTTATTAAATTAGTTTAAATTATATGAAATAAAACTCAACTAATTACATTAATAAAAATTAATGTTGGCACAGGACTGAGACAACATATGAGA